AGAGGTCTGCCGCCCATGTGGTCACCTCCGGGGCAGGCAGGGAGGGGCAGGCAGGAATCAAACTCATGAGGAAGTGGCTTTAGCTTCTCAGTGCTGTGCCTTAACCGGCTGAGCCACCAGGGAGGGCCAGTACCACACATTTTATTAAGCAAATGTATGTTATTGATTTACTCATTTACCTACTAAGAGTCAGGGTAGTGTGTGGTTAAGGGATAGACTTTGGTGCCTGACTTAACTATATCCCACAGGATTTCATATGTTAGGTTAATTAATGTCAAGTCCTTACACAGAACCTGGTTATATTACTAAAGCCTATATTGCTAAGTCTTTTATCCCTTTATTTTATGTAGGGATTTTCAGTTTTTCTGATAACATTGAATGTTACACATACTAAGTTTCCCTCTAATTTTGGATGATCTTTTAAAAGGAATTAATTTCCAAGAGAGATTGGATCAAAGTTTACGATGAATTGTATGATATTTGAAATTAGTATCAAAATTTTCCCCAGAGCCAGATAAAATCCCATGCTTTACCTGGACCAGACCTTGGGAGAACTTGACCTTGGAATTCCCATTCTTAGTGAGTTCTGCACAAGTGTTTATTAAATATATTAAATCTCAAGGACCATCAGTCGAAAAATTTCAAGCACTTCTAGATTGTTTTTGTTTGGTTTTTCAACAGCAAAAGAATAGCATTTGCAGGCCCTCCCTGGTGGTGCAGTGGGTTAAAGCACAGCACTAAGAAAGAAGCTAAAGCCACTTTAGCAAGAGTTCGATTCCCGCCCTGGAGGTGACCCACATGGCGCAGCAGACCTCTCCTGACCTGCCCACTGCTCCCCTCAGCAGTGTACTTCGTTGCTCTGCCTGTTCTGCTCCCCACTCTGTCTCTGGTGAATCCTCTCACCGCACCTGCACCTCTGGCTTGTACCTCAGTTCTGTATGCATAGCAAAGCAGGTGTGAAGGGTGAGGGTAGGGACAGCTGAAGGAAACAGGGAAGCAGGAAAGTAATTTAGGTCACTGGGATGCTCATGGGCTTGTATTTGGGTTATATGAAATTTGGGCCCCACTTGATTCCAGAAAGTCATTTTACTTCAATGATTCACAAGCCATCTCATTACATGTGGAAATGTTTTGTACTTTGAAATATGTGTTATCCTAGTGCAGCCCCCTTCTCTCCCAGCAGATGCTCAAGTATCAGTCTAAGTGGTTCATGTCAGAGGGGCAGTAATTTGTCCCTGTTGTTTCGAGTGCATTTCATTTAGTTTAAATCTTTTTGAAAATTAAAAGGCAGTGTGTGGGGGGGTAGCTGGTTATATTACACTTTTCAATAGCAGTACATTGGACTGCAAAAACTTCTAATAATAGGCTTCAGACGTGCTGTAACCTAACCGTAGAACAGGTTGTCTTCTTGAGAGTTCATTTGCAATTCAATTGGGAGTCAAGGGACTTTGTGGCCTCCCTCTGGCACAGCTCAAATGAAGTACATGAAAGGGTAGGTGAGGTCTGTTTAGGCACATGCATCTCTTTTACAGTGGTTTATATTCCTGACTTTTCCTGAACTAATAGGAGCATATTTCGAAATTAATCCATACTATCATTTTTCTTTTCAGGGGCCTTGTAGAGAAAAAAGAGATGGAACTGGTTTTAAGTAAGTTAGAAGCAGCACAGAAGTACTTGGCACAGAAGTACTGTATCCTTGTTCTGGGCTTGGGAATGCCCGATAAGCATCACATGTGCTGTGGGAAGTAAGTGTGCATTTAGGGTTTCTTTATTAGCTCTTCGATTGTTTGTACATCCACTTCCTTAAGACCCTTACGTTTGACTTTTCGAACTGTGAGAAAGTGTTCCTTTTCTGTGGTGCAGGATAATTGCACTCAGGGGAGACTGTCCCAAACACAGACTATGTCTCCTTTGAGAGACTCAAACATGTACGTGAAGAGTCCCAGAATCTCAGATGATATTTTAAAAGCTATCCACTGCTTGAATTTGAATGACCTGTATGCCAAGATCTGTCTGCTCAGAGGATTCTTGCCCATAACCAACAGGATTCCTGCTTCCTGGCAAGGGCCACTGGCTGCTTTGGCAGGAGACCAGAGCATTGGGCCAGTGCTGAAGGGGATGTGGGGTGTGTTCCCTGACCTTTTGCTACTTGCTTTGCAGTAACAACAGTTGTGGTACAAGTAGGTAAGGCGGGGGTTATAAAATGACTCTGTGTCGGATGGTAACTTTTACCTTAGGATAATAGTCTACATGCTACTGTAATTGAAATTTAAAGTCTCATCACTGGAAAATTTGGGGTCACAAGAGGGGAAACTCCAGCCTTGAACCCCAAATCTGCTTCTCTGAGCAGTTTCACAACAGGCTCAATGAAGAGTCTCACTATGGTCATGGACAGAAACTTTTTTTCACTTTCTGTGGATAGAGCCCAGCACGTGCTTTTCCCTATTTCCCCCACATTGGTGAAACGTAGATATTTGTATTTGCCTTTCAAGTTCTGCACTTTTTTCGTAGCTCCTGTTTTCTGCTTACACAATTTTCACCTAACACCCTGAAAATAGCAGCTGTCGTTATTCTGTTGTGTGATGCAGCAGTGTGCTTACCGGTTCCTTTCGTCATGTGGCTTCAGTTTTTCTGCTTTATAATATTTCTGCATTGAATGTCATTCTAGCAGTTACTTTCAGTTGAGTCAATTACTTAAGGCTTACTCCCAGAATGTATTCACCTAGAAAGTATAAAGTTTAATAGCTCTTATTACATATTGCTAGTTTAGTCTCCCCAATGGTTAAAATATTTGTATCACTATCAACAATAGGCATACCTGGTTTAATATTTCTGATAATTTAAAGGTGCATAAAACTTAGATAGTTCATGTGACTTTGATTATCTTTTAAGGTTGTGAACCCGTGCTTTTTTCTGCGTAAAATAGGTATTTCCTGTTCCTAAATTATTTATCAAGTGGAAACTGGGAATTTGTATAATTTATGTTTCACATGGTAAAGATTTGTTTTTCTAGTTTGTTACTTTCCTTTGATGTTTATATTTTTACACATTATGAAAGCATTAAAAAATTATTTGGACATGTTCACCTTTTATCTGATGCTGTTTGATAGTCATACAAATTAGTGCATTTCTGAGTTCATTCTATTCCTTACTGAGTTAAGCTATTTTTACCTTTCTTAGTTTTTAGAAACAGGGTTTTTAAAAAAAAGTTTGAAATTTTTGACGTTAGATGTGTCTGATATTTTTTTGTTATTTTTTTATTCATTACCAATAACTCTTACTAAATGTTTTACTTTATCTACATTTTAATGTTTTTCTTATACATTTAGATTTCTGCCCCTCAATACAGTGAACTTTATAACTATGGGTTGTGGTTAATATTCTTACTTTTTTCCACTTTTTTTGATTCTTGAAAAAGGAAAAATTAGGTGGGATAGAAACTGTATTGAGTTTGAGTTAATATTACTTCATTCTTTAGTTGAAATAGATTTTCTTCCTTCTGAGTGTAAGAGGTGTTCCTGAGTTCTCTCATTTATCTATTTATAAGGACCTGCATTGGTCTATACCAGCAAGAGTCTACATTGGTCTATAAACCTTAAAACCATATGAATTTGCGGTTTCTCTAAAATGGGAGTTAATGTTTCTACCAGTATATTTTCAGTTGAGATCATTTTCTTTCTGTTTGGTTGTATTTTGGCATCGTCGGCCATTTCTCGAATCTTGTAGCACCCCTTTTATCCACCATGGTAGAGATACTCGCTTTACTTCCTATGACCATGTTTCTGTGATTTACTTTTGTGTGATTTATCATGATTTAATGAATCTTTACTGCCGTTGATTCAGTTCTGCTCTTTCAAGTTTTTGTTGCTCTGTTCAGTTCTTTTCTAGAGTTGATAATGTAGCATGATCTTCCAGTGTGGCAGTCATGAAAATGTGCCTCTCAGACCAGCTACTCTGGGGAGTGCCAGTGGCCAGTAGTCCCAGATATTGTTCTCTGCACCCAACACCAGGTTTGTGCAGATACCAGGCTTCCCATGGAGTGACTCTGGGCAGTCTCTGCACACAATAGGCACAGAAAGCAAGCCCATCCCCACCAGGCAGGAGGCGCTTCTGATGGATGACTTTGGCCTGGAGGCCTTCCCTTAGTGCCTGTCAGACCTTTCTTAGAGCTACCCTGCGGAGTGAGCCTCTTCCTACCCAGTCTTCGGAGCCTTTCTGCTCTCTTGCCCACCTGCATCAAGTGTGACAGCTTTTGGTTTCTCCAGCTGCCTTCTTAATTTCTTTCAGTTGGTTTCTCCAGTAAATCTCTCATGTGTCTAAGTGAACATAGGGATACAGATATACCTTCAAATTCGTGTTCTTGTATTCGCCGGATGAATATCTAGGAGTGGAATTGCTGGATCACACAGTAGCTCTATTTTTTAACATTTTGAGAAAACTCCATACTGGAGTTTTCCATAGAGGCTGAACCAGTCTCCATTCCCCCAACAGTGTATGAGGGTTCCTTTTATCCCACACCATTGCCTATACCCACTGTGTTTGAAAGTAAGTGATTACCTTGTTGAGTCACAGCTGATTTCAAGGAGATGTTGATCTTTTTACATTATGTGCAGCATCACCTGATTATCATAGTTGTTTGAAGAAAAATCAGTTTAGCACTTACCTTCACCATTCAAGATAATAAATTCCAGACAGCTAAACAAAGGATAAAGAAAAAAACAGATCACAGCATATTTTTGCTAGTAAAATTGGCCTTGAGTATGGATTATATCCTTGAATGGAGCTTACATTGCTCTTCTGGTTGTTTTTATCTAAGAGATGATTAAAGAATGTTTTTTTTTAACAGTTATGAGTGATTAACTGATTTTAACATATTTTACCTCCTCCAAACATGAATAATCAAATATTATCATGAAAACGTTTGTGTGTGTATTTTCTGACTTTTTCTCTCTAATATGTTCACACTCAGTATCGGACTAGAGCACTTTAACATTGGAATTAAAGATTTCAGTAGAACCAGCAATTTGGAGGTTGCTAATTTAGTGCTTTCATGTTTCTTGAGAAGTAGGAGGACATATCTTTTTTATTCTAAATGCATCTGTGAAAGTCTGATATCACAACCACCTTGGCAAAATTTTGATTATCAACATGGTTAGTAAAAGCTCTCTGTTTTCCAGGACAGGTAAGAAAACTATTGTCAAGGCAAATGCCATAGAATTAGATCTCTTCTTTTGTTGTGGCAATTCTGGTCCCACCTCTAGCTCTGTCCTAGGACTTATGCTCTCATCTGCATCTAGTGCAGATGGGCGACCCGAGAGGTGGGTGGTGAAGATGCGGATGGGAAAAAGGGATTTCTTTGGAGCTTAACTATATAAATCATCCTTAAACCTCATACCTAAATAGTCTCTTTCCCCTCCTGCTAGAGATATTCCTTGGAAATTTCCTTGCTCAGAGCAGGCCTTTGTCTGCAGTTAAACTGATTTTACCTAAAGAGGCAGGGGGTAAGTGGAAATGCTTATTTTCCAGTCAGAACCCTAGGTCCTAGGCCTCACATCCCCCCATAATAACTAAAAATGTGGTACCCTTTCCTCCCTTTGGTTTGGAACTAGGAGTCTAAGTGAAGCAAGAAGCCAAAAAGAAAGAAAAAAGTCATTATAACAGGCCACTAGAAGTCTCTTGACTTAGCCCCCAAGTTGGTTTTCTACCTCTCTCCTTTGGATTCTGCCCTCAAAGATAGAAAGTATGGGCCAGCATGGTTGACACTTATCACTTGTGGCTGGTCCATGTTGAAATGTGTTATTAGTATAAAATATATTGTATTAAAAAGTTAAAAATGAATAAAAGATCTCAATAATTTTAAAATTATTGAAACAATGTTTTGGAGGTTGACTATAAACATGTTACTTAATCTCATTATTATTTTTTACAGAAAAAATTAAAATTTTAAAACAAAATGAAAATGTTAACATTGTATGTGTAACTTACCTTATATTTCTTTCTTTTTTTTTTTTTAAAGATTTATTTATTTGTGCATACAGAGCTGGGGTATAGGCCAGAGGCTCAGGGGCGGCGAGAGGCTTCACCAGAGACAGAGTGGGGAGCAGAACAGGCAGATCAATGAAGTACACTGCTGAGGGGAGCAGCGGGCGGGTCAGGAGAGGTCTGCCACACCATGTGGTCACCTCCGGGGCAGGCGGGAATCGAACTCATGTGGAAGTGGCTTTAGCTTCTCAGTGCAGGGCTTTAACCTGCTGCGCCACCAGGGAGGGCCGACCTTATATTTCTGTTGGCTTGTGCTGTCATAAGCCTTGTTTATTTATAATCGGTAAATTTCTAAATTTATAACCAATTTATACTGTTATGTACTAATATAAAAATTATAAAATAAAAAGATACAAAGGAAGAAAAGTGATTCAGAATTCACAGGCAAGAAATGAATTTGAAGATTTCAGATGAGAGCTTCTTAAATGTACTCACTCTAGGTCTCTATTTCCTGGACACATTTCAGTTTCAGTTTCAGATGCAGAGTTAAGTCAAAATGGTGAGAAGCCCACTGTCTTCTATATTATTTCCACAGTGTGGGCTACATTGGTTTGCTCTGGGATTTAAGAAAGGCCCAATTTGAGGGAAAAGGAGGAGATTCATACTACCTTCTCTTCTAATGTTTTTAAAAAAGAATGAAAAGCACTGGAGAGAAAGAGTGTGCTTCTAAGCAATCTGTCCTTTCAAAACCTTGCTAAAATGGTGCTGGTTTGGGTGGAGCCAATTCCTGGCTGCTCTAAACCTGCTCCCTGAATGTAGGCTGACTTGGTATTCCTCGCTGTTCCAAGACAGTGCGGCTGACTTCTGCCTGGGCTTGGCTTGTGTGCACAGGCTCTGGTTTCAGCTGGCAAGGGCCACTGAAGGCTGGCAATACCACAACATTCCTGTCAGGTGGAGGCTTCAGGTGACACAAAAAGGTCATTGAGGCTTGTCCTGAAAACTTTATGCTGGGCTTTTTTGCTCAGTATGTTCATCTGTGAAATATCCTAAAGAGGAAGCTCTTTTCCCAGTATGCTGGATACTTGAGTACAGACATGGAGATCTGAAAGGGCTGAGTTTTAGTACAGACTCTGCCCCTAATTAAATACATCTTTGGACTCCTGTCTTAATTTCAGGTTCCTCAACTGTAAAGTGGAAATAATAATGCTGATGATACCAGAAGGATCTTCTGAGAACTAATATGACAGTAAATGTAAAGGACTCAGCACAGGACTTGGCACAGAGTTCACGCCTAGAGTTCATTGTAATTATAGATGGTCCCTGACTTACTGTGGTTCTACCTAACAATCTTTTGACTTATGATTGTGAGAAGGTAATATGCGCTCAGGAGAAACCACAATATGAATTTTGACCTTTGACCTTTCCTGGGCTAGTGACTAAAGTCTGATATTCTCTCAAGATGCTGAACAGCGGCAGTGAGCCCTGCTACCATAGAGCCACCTGATCATGAGAGGAAACTCCCATATACTACAGTGTACGGCGTTTTTCAGTACAGTGTTCGCTGCATTTCATGATATATTCAACACTTTATTATAAAATATTATCAAATTGTATAGACTAATGTAGGTGTTCTGGGCATGTTTAAGGTAGGCTGTGGTGCTTGGTAACCAGTTAAACGTATTAAAAGTGTTGGTTTTTTTTTTTTTTTTACTTTTTATTTTTGAATAGAACTGGGGTGCAGGCCAGAGGTGCAGAGGTAGGGGAGAGGATTCACCAGAAGACAGAGTGGGAAGTAGAACCAGTGGATCTACTAAAATACACTGCTAAGGGGAGCAGCAGGTGAGACAGGAGAGGACTGCTGCGCCATGTGGGTCAGCTCCCTGGCCAGGGACTGACTCAGGTCACTGTGGAGACAGCGCTGAAATTTAACTCCTTGCACCGCTAGGAAGTCCTAAGCGCATTTTTGACTTGTGATATTTTCAATTTACCAGGAGTTTATTGGGAGGTAGCCTCATTGTAAATTGAGGAAGATCTGTACTGTTGCCTTAATTCTTTGCTGAAGACTTGCCCACAAGACAACCAATTATAAATGAAGAATGTGCAGGAGAGGAGGGACTTCTCCAGTAAAAACTGACCCACCTCTTAGTGTTCCCCCAAATAAAGGGCTACTTTGGGACCATAGAGACTTGAGCCCTTTGGGACCTCCAGACTTGAGCTGGAGATCCTGAGGGGTTTGGGTCAAATTCCCCAAACAAAGTTCAGGACAGTTCAGGAATATCAGCTACTCTGTTCATCCTCACAGTCAGTTACTTTAAGGAAAGCAGAACTCAAACCTTGGAGTGCCCTGGGTCAGGTCCTGGCCTCCTTGACTGATGTAGTGACTGCAAGCCCAGTCAACTCTCCAGCCCTCCCCAGAGGGCACCTGTTTTCCAAGGTGGCGGATCAGAATAACAATAGCCTGTGTTGGGGAGGAGGCTCAGCTCTTTCAGTGTGTCTTGCCTGGGTAAAGTCCTTCACAGTGACTTTCTGTCACAAGGTATCCTGGGCCAGCACTTGCCTTTAAGTGACAAGACACAGTCTGCGAATCTCATTCAGAAGGAAGAGCACACGCTGTGCCAGCCTGTTGATTCTTTGTCCATTTTGTTTCTGTTTCTTTTTGCACCAATGGCCTTAATCATCACTTATTTTTCTTTTCTCTAAGAGGTTTTCCTTACCTCTATTTCTTTGCTTCCATGTCTGCTAGCACCCCATGTTTCCACTTTGCCACCTTTCCGTGCTCCTCCTCACTTACCACTCATACCATCAGAAGAATTCAAAATGACACGTTTTCTCACTGGTTTGTTTATCCCAAATCTATATTGATTATTTTTTCACCAAACACAACAGGTGTTTTGAGCCTGATAATCTAAGAAGTTCAAGAAAAATGTATTATGAATGGCTTTTGATAGTGTTTATGCACCTAAATTGTATTGGGGCTACAGGTGATGACTCAGCAGAGGGGCTTTTTGAGTGCAGGACTTGCCTATATCAGCGAAAAACTGAACTTCACTTTCAACCTATAGATTTGATCTATTATATTACAGGGAGAAAATATCAGATACACAAAAAGACTGGAAATTCTTTGAGGTGAGTCACTTATGTTTGGAGCTTTTCTCTTTGATGTAAAAGAGCAGTATTGCCTCTAGCCACTTGCCAGATGCTTATTTTTAGTGAATAGCCTTTCTAAAAAGGATAGCTAGCTAAAGCTTGGGCCTGGTTTTCCTCCTGCAAAGGTGAGCACATGTATACTTCACAGGCAATTGAGAACTTAGGTATCTGGGTTTGTGTTATACAGACATCGAGAGCTTTCCATGTCAGCTCTGTGGGTTGTTTTCTGTTTTCTTGTCTGTTTTCTGTTGTAGTCCTTCTATACTTTCTGTACATACGTAGCTTGGATTGTCTTCCGGCGTCAACACTTCGTAGAGATTGAGGAAGAAATTGGGAGGCTCTTTCGTACCAACTTATTCAACATTCCTCGAAGGAAGCGAGAAGAGGAAGAATCAGGAGGAGAAAAGAAGCGCATGACTTTTGCACAATTCAGGTCTGCTCGTTTGATTTTTCTAAGCTCAAGGACATTGATAGAAAACAGGATGTGACCTAGATGTTGCCTTTTCCCCACTCCACAGGAGAATGATGGCAAAACGCCCAGCGATTAAAAAAGCCATTAACATGCGTTCTCCAGTCATGTCCACTTTGCTGCCATCGTTCAGAGAAAAAGCTCAGAGTGTCTTTGAGAAAAAGGGCCATCAAGTAGGCATCAGACTGTCAGGCGAGATTCACAAACAGCAGGATAAGCTGGACACTGTGCCCATGCCAATGTAAGTAGCTCAGGGAGAGAGAAAGGGTGCTTCCGGTGAGGAGGGCTGGGTGGGATGGGGGCCAGACACCAGGGCCTTTGCTGGAAAATTGAATAAAGACGAAGGCACCATTTTCGGACCCACCCCTGGTCCTCGCCACCTGCTTCCTTCCAGAGCAGTGCTGGGCTTGCTTGTACAGAGTGGGGAAAAAATGCTGGAAAGTTACTTTAGACTTCATTCAAGAAGTTCTCATTAGGAGTAACAGACTTGATAAGGCTGAGGTTTTTCCACTGGAAACATCATCTTTGGGAAATGTGAGAAGGGCCAGTACAAAATTTTGCTGTGGACAGAGTTTTAGAACCCATATTTAGGACCACTATTCGTTCATAAAAACAGGGAAAACTTTAAAAAAAAAAAAAAAAGGCCGTGTGTCTGTGTCTCTGTGTGTATGTTAGCTTTACTATTGAGTATTCACATGGCACCACACCCACACCCAAACCTACACCCACACACGTTAGATTTTGGCCCTCTGCTTTAGCTCTACCAATAATTCTTTTCACAGAGTTGGCATCTTGGGGGAGCCTCGGTGTTTGTTCAACCCCCATACCCTTATCCCCTATGACTCAGAAGAAAACTTACAACAATCTGGAAGAAATTCTTCCCTGATAGAAAGAAACAACATGAAGATTCAGGATACGCTGGATATGGTAATAAGAACACTGTGTTCTCAAACATCTCTCCCTAAGTAAACTGGGCCATTCAGTTTCTGTAATTAAATCTCTGTATTTGAAGTAAACTACTTTGACTTATTCATTAACATAGGACTTACATTTGTCATTTAATTTTTAGGAGTATTCACATTTTGTTAAAAGTTCAATAGACTATTAAAGAATTCCAGGAAACTCTTGAAAAACTCATTTTCCTACATTTAAGAGCTTACTTTGGTATTTATTTAATTCTTTGGCTCCTGTGTTTCTATTCAGAGCTATGTGGCAAGGCATTTAGCCAGTATTCTAGTGGGAATATTGAAGTAGTCTGTTTCTAAATTAATTTTTCCTTTATGGTACATTTTAGAATAAAATTTCACAAATTTAAAATAAAATTTGCCATTTTGTGTAGTTTTATTTTTAATATGAAATCTCTGTGGCCATATTACTGTTGGTAGTAGGATGTAAAGTATATCTGATTCATTGAAGTTTTCTAGCATATGTGTTTTACTCATTCTTTGATTTCTTTTTCACTTAAGGACTTGTATGAAGTCCTTACTTGTTCTAGGGCAAAGATCATCAAGACAGAGACCACATCCTCTAGGTCTGGGTAGCACAGAAGATAAGTAAATGCATGCCTGCTAACAGTACAAACTGAATATGTTACAGGGGAGAACACCAAGTACCCCAGTCAGACAGTGGGTCACTCATTCCTGGGAGAACCAGCGCCTTCTAATTGGAGCTTGGCTTTGCAGGGATGAGATGGCACTAACTAGGGCCTTGCACCTGCGAAAGCAGAGATGAAAAGTGTGCTCCCTTTGGGCCCCCACCCCCACCCCCACGGACAATAGGGAGCTGCATAAGAGCAGGGGAGAGGGCAGCCAGGGGTGTGAGTTGGAGCTTATTTGGCAGGCAGTGAAGACTAGGACTTGCTAATGAAATGGTTCACTGGGTGGAATACAGAGCTGCTGATTATACAACATTGATTTAAAAAGGAGTGTAGCTGAAATCCAGCTACATATCTTGACCCAAGGCAAATAGATCTTTAATGTTTGATTTATAAGAAATTCTATGGAGGAAAAACATGTTAAATAATACTCCAGGAATTAAATAAGAAACAAGGAAAATTCAAATGAGAGGATCCTACAGAGAAAAATTACCCTATAGTTCACTAAATATATGGAGATGTGGAGGTCAGAGAGGAGAAAGGAGGAAAGGAAACTTTAAAAAGACCTAAAAGATTACCAGTCAAATGCAATGCTTAGATCTTGCTTGGGTTCTGGTTTGAACAAACCAATATGTAGTAGAATATATAGTATAATTCAAGAAAATTGACACTAAGGGAATATTTGATAATGATGATAAGGAATTATTGACTAATTTGTGAGGTGAAGTAATGTTACTATCCTTCTCCCCCCACCCCCCTATAAAAACACAAAATTAAATATTTACAGAAAGGAAAAAATAGACAGGCAATGGAAAGGAAGATGAGAAAAAAAATGAGTGGGTATTAATGCTCCATAAACTACCAGATGTCCCCAAACAATTATTTTGCAACAGCAGAGACCAAAGCTTGCATGAGAATTTTCAATTAACAAAACACACCTTCAAGAAAAAGAAAATAACAAAATGCAGCCAATCCCCCTACATGCTCAGACAACTGGAACCAACGTCAGACAGTGCCAGCAACAGGCAGTAGGACTTTCTCCTCTGCTCCCTCTCACATGTAGAGTGCCCTGTAGGAGGATCTTTGCACATCTGGCAAGGGATTTAGCACACTCCTACTTGCAGGAGAGTGAGTTCCTCTGTGTGACATCTCCAAGCCCACTGTCACTGCATAAAGGTGTTGGTTCCTACCCAGACACTCCTGCTTAATTTGGGAATAATTATCTCCTCCCCCACACTACTCCCTTCACACACATCTCTTATGTGTTTGATAATCACACACTGTTGCAGATCTAAAGGCACAAATGGAGCATTTGCTCAAGGACTGAGACTCTTGTGTCACTGCACACAAAGAATGAAGTGAGGGGGAGCCCTCAATGTCATCACAGGACTCACACTGTAACATGTACCCATTAAAGAACAATTGGGTGGATTTTTAAAGCAAGGCATTTTCTCCCCTTTAGTTCTCACAGCAAGCCAGAAGAAATGGTGGTTATGGGGCTGGAGTCAGGACCCCAGCAAACAGGTGACTTGAATCCAAACTAAATTGTAGGTTTTTCTTACTCATTGCTGTATTGTTTAACAAACATATTTGTCATGTGTCCACTGCTCTGGATCCTGAGAATACCCCATGACAAGGAAGGCATGAATGATGGCTGGAGGGTGGAATGAGAGGAGGCTGGCAGAGGCCAGATGGTTGTGCTTTATAGGGTGTGGGCTTGGGTGTTGGGATTTTAGCTAATTGAGATGGAAAGCAGATGAAGGGGCTTAGGTAGGAGGATTACTTTGGCTCCTGTGTGGAAATTGGTCCAGGAGGGAGATTGGTGAGAGGCTACAGATGTGATCCAGGAAAGGGAAGACATGGTGACTTAGCAAAGGGATGGTTTCTGCATAAAATGTTCAGCAGATACGATTTGCTGACAGACTGGCTGTTTGGTAAAGAAAAGTAAGGAAACCTCTAAACTTTCTGACTTGAGCAATTGGTTATTTAGTGTTTCACAGGAGAGAGTGAATAAGGAACAGATGAGCGTAAAAACATGGAATTCTGTCTTGGACTGCTAATTTTAAGATGCTAATTAGTCATTTGAGTAAAAATAAATTGGCCTTTAGATATTTACATTTGGAGTTATGAAGCAAGATCAGAGCTGGAAAGAGCCTTGGTAGTAATTGGCTGTGTGCCTGGATAAGATCACGTAAGCAGATAGGGAAGATCGTGGGGACAAGAACCAGCTGCAGAACACGCTACACATTAGAGGGGGTGGAGGAGCAGCAAGCTAAATGCATCAGAACCCTTAAGTTCTCCAACAACTCAATTCAACTTCTCAATGTACCACCAGTCATGAGCTTAAAGGATAACCAGGAGAGGGAGGGCTCTAGGTGGAAGAGGAGAAAAAATTGTGACATGAAGTAGGGAGTGGGCAGCTGGCTAGAAATGCTGCAGAGACAACAGAATGCAATATCAGGTTAGGGAAAATGGAGGTCAACCATGCAGACTTGGGCTTGTGGAGCTCCCGTAGAGTGGATTTTGTAGAGAAAGCCTCGTGAGAAAGTGGAGACCAGGACTATGGACAGTGCAGGATTTGCTGAAGGGGAGGGAAGATATCGTGCAGTTATTAGGGGGAGGTGGAGGGTCAAGGACTTAGTGTTTGATTTATTGTTGCAATGTTCTGGTTCTTACTTTTTAGAGATAAGATACTCCATTTGTAAGCTGATTCAGATGAGCTAGGAGAAGGGGAAAACAGGTGACTGGGGCTGAAAGTACAGGTTGGGGGTTGCCCTTTATGGCAGAGGCATCTGCAGTCACAGGAGGAAAAGCAGAGGGTGTGACCTTTGTTTAAGGTGTTAGTCTCTTAGATGCCCAGTGACCTTCTGTCTGCATCACACAAGCAAGGCTTAGTCTCTAAATTATCAATAGAATTCCAAATGGCAAAAACTTAGCCAATAAAGGGCATTTTTTTAATGGTATAGTTTAGTTATTACACAGGAAAAATAGACCTGGACTGCAGGATGTCCAGCTGTAGAATGTTTTTATTTTGCCTGAAGTCAGTGTTTTGTGCGATCATTTACTTAGTGTGAGCCCAGCTACCAGTAAAGTTGTATGTTCCCTCTCACCCCACCCCCAGGATTCCTTGGCCAAGTTGTGGATCATCAAGCATTGAAATGAACAGCTGAACTCTGAGCCTGTTTCACCTTTGTAGACCTTTTATACCCTTGGTATATTTTAACATGAAGTTTCTTTCCCTTTCATATTTTTTCCAGGGGAGAAGTCTTTTCTCCTAAAAATTTACTATGGCTACTTTCATCAGAGAATAAAACTATATAATCTATCTTGTTTTTCTCTTTTGTTGTAAGGAAGCACAGACATAAATTTAATACTTTACCATAAGAGCTTAGAGGTTTCATCTCTCTGACTTTTATTTTCTATTTTATTACCTTGTGTTGCTTTTCCTTTACTTTTGCTTATTTCTTTAATTAAAATTTTCACTTGGACATACTGGCAGATTCACATGCTGTTGTGAGAAATAATACAGAAGGATCCTGCCAACCCTGTGTCCAGTTTCTCTCCCTGGTAACATCTTGCAAAATTGTAGTACAGGTTCCTAGCCAGGGCGTTGGTGTTGGTTGTCCAGGCACAAAGTACAGCCATTGCCACAGAATCCTCAAGTTGGCCTGTTACAGTCACATACTTTTCTCCTGCTTCCACTCTCTCCTTAGTCCCTCACAACCATTAATCTGTTCCCATGTCTGTAATTTTTTCATTCCATTGTCACGGAAGCATATGGTTTGTAGCTTGTTGGCATTGACTTTTTTTGGCTGAACATACTTTCTGTAAGTTCCTCCAAGTTGTCATATCAATAGTTCACTTTTTTGCCGAGTGGTTTTCCTCATGTACCATAATTTGTTTAATTCATCCTTTGAAGGTCATCTAGACTATCTTTCAATCTGGGCTATTATAAATAAAACTGCTATAAGCATTCCTGTACAGGTTTTGTGAGAACATGATGTTTTATTTCTCTGAGCTTATACCTCAGAGAATTTTTATAGTGAATTCACTTTTACAGTGAATTGTATTGGGTCTTTTTTGTGAATAGATGGTATAATCATAAACAAAGGCTACCTACTGTCTTTGTATTGTGATTGTTATTATCATGCTATTATCTTTCATCTTCAGTTTCTAGTCACTAATTACTCCTATGGCTCAGAAAAAAGGCAGATGAAATCAGGAAGTAACATTGTTTGCAGGTCCAGTGGAGCCTGGCTCCTGGATTTTTTTTTTTTATTTAAGATTTTTTAATTTATTTATGCATACAGAACTGGGGTACAGGCCAGAGGTGTAGGGGTGGTGAGAGGTTTCACCAGAGACAGACTGGGGAGCAGAACAGGCAAATCGATGAAGTACACTGCTGGGGGGAGCAGTGGGGGAGTCCAGAGGGGTCTGCCGTGCCATGTGGGTGACGTCACCTCTGGGGTAGGCGGGGATCGAACTCATGCGGAAGTGACTTTAGCTCTTTAGTGCTGTGCTTTAATGTGCTGTGCCACCAGGGAAGGCCCAGCTGCTGGCTTTTTTATGGCTTCTAAGAAGACCACTGCAATCCTTAGGTTTATTTTTGCTGCTTTTGTCCAGATTCCTGGCCTAGATAAACCATGTTTGA